AGAATGACCCATGGCTACTAAAAAATCCAACTGAGAAGTCTCCAGGTAAAGATGGGCAGTGCCCTTTCAATAGCTTCAACAGCTGAAGACTGACACCAGACAGGTACAACTTCTCTGCCCTAGACATACAAGATGTTTCTGAACCCTGACTTGGAACATACTTCTGCTGTCCTCCTCATCTCCGTAAGTGTCACCATGAGGACCTGCACCTCCTGCGTGTTGCACCCTAAAACTCCCTTGCTTCTAGATCAAGCACCTCAGCTTAAACTCAGCACCCACATTTCAGAGAGACTGTGGAGTCTACTCTAAAGAGAGACTCAATTTCATGCAACAGAAGATTGGACAGAGTAGGAGTTGGGACCCAGACAGTACAGTGCCTCCTGATTTTTCAGGGGTAAAAAAAAAAAAGGTTCTCTGAATCACCATAGCAAATACTCTCAATTACACTAATAAGCTGTGCCTCAACCAAAGGTGGGAAAGGAAAAGCAAAGAGTTTTACGCACTTTTACACTTGATGACATGGCAGAGGATGACAGGAGACACTGATCCCACTGAGAAACAGAGGTTACATTATCTCCTCTGCCCACTTCTACTGTGGCTAAGTCAGTCATACAGACAAGAGAAGATAAAGGTATTCAAAAGAAGCATGTTATGACTGCCATGTTTCTTAAAAAAAAATACATGATTTAAAAGAAGAAATTAAGACTGAAAGCTCTTCAGAATCGTTTTTGTTACTTTCACCTCTTAACAGCAGAGACAGCAGCTGCTACTGCCATAGAGACAACCATATACTGAGCAACAGAAGAGCACTTCTAGACTGCTGCCATACAGCTGCTGACCCACAACTGGTCATATCAGACCGCTGAGCTTATAAATCAATACTCCTTAGCTTCACAGAAACAAAGTCAAAGGCATGATTAACACTGATCTATACCTACTCACATACAGAGGCCAAGGCAGTTGCGGTGGTCAGTTGTATTTGCAGCACCTGCTATTGATCTGACAACACAAGGGTTGGTAGGTTTTTTTAAGCACAGGGAGAAACTACAACTCTAAGCAATACGCAGGAATTTAGCAGCTAAAGATACAGCTCTGCAAATTCTGAAGGACTGAATTGTTGGCACAACAGTAGCCCAAGTGCTGTTACAAAGTGGCTTTGCAGCTCTGAGCTCATAAAATTACATTATTCGTAGCCTCTTAAGATTAATGTACTTTTACCACAGAAATTATCTTACTTTTGTCAAGTAATATAAAGAACATCTGCCTGACACATCATTAAAGAAACAAGTTTGCTCAAACTTCATGTTACAGATAATCTTATTTCTAAAAAATCTGATAAATCAAGGAGATTACAGGGAATCTGCATTCTCACTCATTTACATTAGATGCCAAGAGACCATAAGAATGTTTTGGTTTGGTTCCAAAGCTAACTTTCAGACCTGGTACTGAAGGATAAAATGCCTAAGATAGCTGAAAAGTAACTGGGTAGTGAGAAATACCTCTGAGTGTTTGTGTGGCAGAGGAGACGCAGAGATTTGGGAGAAGTGACAGTTATCTAAAACCATATAACAAGTTTTGAGTGACACAGAAGTTTGTTTGGCAAGATGCGTCTTCAAAACTGTGCTGCTCTCGCTCCAGAATCTCTGTGATATTTTATTTGAAACGGAGAGAACTTCATCTTTGGGAAATGAAATCAATTTTTTAAAAGCAAGTGTATGCACATACCTTCACAGGTCCTGGATGAGTCTTTTCCACTCTCCCTCCTCCCAGAGGCAAAATTTTGTGGCACACCTTTCCAACATTACTAACCCATTCCCCATGCATTATCCTGTAAGTGCACATGAAGAGCTTACCCGTGAAATGAACAGCTAAAAATGAGTATTAACTTGCACTACAGCCCATCCATTTCCCAAAACATAAATTGCAGTTTTATTTCAGATTTTAACCATCATCTTATAATACAGTTGTTTTTCTCTGGATGATAGGCAAGGACACTGTAATTCTTGAACAAGTACCTAAGGCCATCAGGAAGGGAGTGGTGTTTGCCCCCCTTCTTCTGCCTGGCAGGGGAGAAGAGGAGAAGGACAGGAGCAGTAAAAAAGCAGATTAATGAAAGATGTAAAGTTAATGTCGCTGAGGGGTAACCACTGTAGTAATAATAATTAAAACACTCAAAAATGTCACGGGGGCCCAGGGAAAGAGATGGGAAAGGAATGTGAGGAATACAGAGAAGATCCAGTGAGAACCACTGTTTGTACATCCAACACTAAAGCATGGCTGCATGACAGCCCTCTACCTACATCACTGCTGTCTTCTGCTAGAAGATAGAAACATTAATATCCTCCAGTAACCTACGAAGTTCAAAATTTAAGGGGTAGAGGTAAATGCAAATTAAAATATTACAGCTTATATACCAAGGCAGCACCATAATAATGATATGTGGTTTTTATAATTTGACAGATTCACACAAGAAACACTTCCCTTCAGTCACCCAATCAAATCACTCGTCATTTCATGATCAAGTGTATACTTCACATGAATGACCTTTGATCTTTCATCCAGTTTCTTCTTAAGATCCACAATTCTTGGAAATGCAGCTTGTCAATTCATCACCACACTCCACCTCCTCCTTTGTATTACCAATACATTAACTGCTCTCGATCTTTTGTACCGTAACTCCTCAGTGCCATCCAAAAAACAAACACTTAGAGTAGTTGACGCTTGACTTTTCTCCTTGATAGTAAGCTGAACAAAGTTTTCCATCCCAAACTGAGATAACAAGTAATCTAGAATTCACTACTGAAGATCTACTTTCTCAAAATATCATTTGTCAATGTCTCTGCAATACAGCAGCAGGAACTCAGCAATGAAAACGGCAACAGGTGGTTTCCTTTATGAAAAAGTCACAACATAAGCTCCAAACTAACAAATAGCCTGTTGATAAAACTATGTGGTAGTAAGTTCCAACAGTAAAGCACATAACCTTGATTCACAATGCATATTGTGGCATTCACACAAATATCTTACAAGCGGGTTAAGCAGGCAGGTTTTTTTAGTAGTTAAGACATGCTTGGAGGAATCCGATGGTTTGCATGGCTACAATAGGAATAATAACTATTCTTGCTCAAATAATAACTCAAAAGGCAGCCATAAAAAAACTGTACCTGCCAGATAATTTTGGGTGGGGGGCAGGGGGAGGTACACATATTCATGGAAAAAAAATAGGGGAGTTAACTGATGACAGGATAACCACTTCATTTAAGAACAGATACCAAACAAGCAAAACACATTTAGCTCCAACAGTTGTAAGTTACTGCTTATCTACACAGATAAAAATGGTACGAATTTTGTTACTAAAGCTATAGCCTCAGTAATTACACCTAAAGAGAAAACCTGAAAAGGACCCGCTTACACGTGTAGGTTAATCAAGAGCATCACTCCAGAACTATCAGTATCAACAAATGCTCTTCTGTGGCCCATCTACTGGGCAACACATGGTACAACAACAGTCACAGCTGGAGTTCTGAAAATTTCTGAACTCTTCTTTCTGTTTCATCTGTTTTCTATTTTAGAACCTGATTTTGACTGCATGTACTGCAGTGACTGGGGAAGCCAAGAAATAAGATCACAAAAAAAAAAAAAAAACAACCCAAACCCACAGTGGAAGATGAGAACTTCAAAAGGCATATTAGAAAGCATCTAAACCTATGTTTTGTGCAACATTTAACCGCACCAGCAATTAACATCATAGACAAAAGAAGCCCTTGTTAAATATTAAGCAACCATGCCCTTTCAGTTCAGGAGAAAGCACATCATAAGTGCCCCAATGCATCCAACAGCAAAGATGCCTTAAGTAAAAATACCATATCATTCAGGTAGACTTTATAATACATAACAGATAAATAAAAAGAGGCGATTATGCCCTCTCTTTTTTAATCTAGCACAAATAGCCTTTAAATAATTCTTGTATCATATCAATAGGATATATTTTAAACTGTCCTCAGAGAACACTACCAGCATAAGTAACATTTCTTCAAATTTTTCCATATTACTAATTTGAGTATGGAGGAGCATATATTTTACCACACATCATCATCACATTTTACACATCTTTGACAGGGAGATCAGTCAGCTTCATTATGATGCAGGCACTAGGGTAGGGTTTAAGTAATTACATTATGTTGAAGGCAAACATACAGTACAACCCTCATTTAAATTTTTAATCTCAATTTTGAAGGCTTAACTTCACACGACCCAGTCTTGAACATTTAGAGGTTTGCACTGCACAAAGCTTTAGGTGGCTCCAAAAAGCTACCAACAGCATGACATTTACCCTTGTTACTCTTAATTACTATTTTGTCTCCAATTTCTTTACACTGGCAAACACAATTAAGGAAACTTAGCCACCTACACCTCCAATTTCCTGGAATAACGTTATAACAAGTGATTTTAAGGGCCAGAAAAGGCGATTGTGCCATCTACGCTAATTCTGCATCCTGCACGTCGTAGGCTGACAACCTCTGGGTCACAGCATGAAGTCTTTGTCAGATCAAAGTTTTTGCTACACTATTTAGCAACAAGCAGCTGTCGAGTGAGCACATCAAATCTATAGAAAAGATGCAGCAGTTTTTCAGTCACTTATACTACCTCCACGAGTGCCATAACTTAACCCCCTTCTTTCCACAGCTGACCCAGGGAATCAGCTAGGGTGAGAAAACCAATCAGTCACTGGAGGAGTGCTCACATTTACCCTCCCAGCCCTCGCTAGCCAAAAGGCTAAATTCGCAGCGGAAAACAAAAGCCGGAGCCACAGCTCGCTACGGCAGCTGGAGGACACCAAGCCAGCGCTCAGAAGTTGATACACGATGGGAAGACCTGAGGATGTCGGAGAGAAGAGCGACAGCAGTACGGGAAGGACCTATTTTAAGGGATCTCCCTTTCGCCCTGTCCGGCTCCCACGGGGACCCGCTTGCTCCCGTAGCGGGGAGGAAGGCACCTACCTGTGCCGGTGCTCGTCGTGCCCTTGCCCGTGGATGAGGAAGCCGCCGAGGTTCTTGCCCCCTTTGCTGGTGTCGACGTGAGGAATGAGCACATCCTCCAAGCCCAGGTCAAAGCGCTTGTGCTTCGAGGAGTCCGGGAGGAAGAAGAACGCCCCGAAGCACAGGGTGATGAAGGCACTAAGAATAAGGAGCAGGATAAATTTTTCGGAGAGTCTCAAGGTAGCCCTGTGGTGCGGGAAGGCGGAGGCCCCCAGGTTCAGGGGGGGCAGCCTCCGCCCGGAGAGCGGCAGCAGGGCGGGAGTGGTCATCCTTCCGCTAGCGACCACCCGGCGGGGCACGGCTCATCCCCTCAGCCCCTGCGGAGGGCGGCCCGGGCCCGGCTCGGCTCGGCCGCCTCCCGGCCCGGCGCGGGGGCTGAGGGCGGCTTCACCATCCTCCCCGCGGGCGCCGGGCCGCGTTCCCCCCTCGCCCGCCGAACCACCGCGCGGAGAACGGGAGGGGAGGGGAGGCGAGGCGAGGCGGGGGGGGGGGCCGGGCCGCCCCAACGGCCCCCGCCCCCCCGGGGGGGTCGGGCCGGGACGCAGCCGCCCCGCTACCTGCGCGCCCCTCTCCCTCGCCCCCGGGGCCAGCAGGGCCCGAGCGGGCGGCTCTGGTCAGCGACGCTCCCCGAGCGCCGCGGCCGTTCGGCTGCGAGACGCCACCGGCAGCGGCGGGCGGCGGCGGCGGCCAGCTGGAGGCCCGGCCTGGCGCACGGCGTCTCCCCGCCCGCGTCCCCTTGGCCGGGCCGGGCGGAGGCTCATCCCCGCCGCGCCGCCCCGCTGCGAACGGCGCCAGGAACGGCCGCCGCAATTCCACTTCGGACCCGCTCCCCGCCCCCACGGCGCCTGCGCGGCGGCAGGCGGCGCAGGCGCACTGGGGAAAGCGAGGTCGCGGGGAAGCGGCTGCCAAGAGAGCCCCGCCCCCCTCGCCGAAGGGGCGGGGCGGGGGGGCGGGGCCTGGCCGCGCCGGCCCCCGGGGGCTCGGGAGGGCAGGGCCGGGCCGGGCCGAGCCGGGCCGGGCCGGGCCGGGCCGGGCCGAGCCGAGCCGGGCCGGGCCGAGCCGAGCCGAGGGGTTCGGCGGCTTTCCCGGCCTTGCTCCTGGCGGGTAAACGGCGCCTCGCCGCACCGTCGCGGTGCGGTTCCTGGCCGCGCTCTCAGCCGGGTCGGCGGCTGTGAGGGTGGCGGGTCGGGCAGCAAAACTCGAGGCGTTTTGGTTTGGGTTTTTTTTTGTTTTTTGTTTTTTTGGTTTGTTTTCGCAAATCATTGCGCTGATCTGGCTTAGCGCGAGGCCGCGTAGTCGCCCTGGAGAACCTCCGGGCCCCATGGAGGAGTAATAGCAGTGTCCGGCACGACCGACGCGTCCCCCGGGAGCTGCCCCGCGCAGTGATGGGAGCACGAGTAACACGCACCGGGCCCGCGCGGAGGCATCAGGCTGCCGTCCCCCGGCGCGGCTGTTGGGGTTTATCCCAGGGGATCGGCCGCGATAGCCGAGCACGCTGCCGGGGCAGCTCTCCTGGGACAGCTGAGGGCTGCGGGGCCACAAGAAACAGTGCCAGCTCTAGTGACTTCAGCTGAGCCATCCAGCTCCCTGAGCTGCTTTGAACCTGCGGGAATGTTGAGGCAGAAGTGCTGCGAGAAGGGATGTAGAAGGGAAAGGCGGAAAACAGATCTGAATTACCCTCTACAAATACCGCACGTGGCTGGTTTCACTCTGCTCAGTCACACTTTGCTGTCTGCACGCAGGCACGGGGCAGAATTCCTCGGGCTGCAAAAGCTTGCGTGCAAAAGCAAAGGAAAGGTCAAGCAAAGGCCTGGGCAAGGTAGCTGCAGGAACCAGATTCAGAGGGTTAAAAGAACAAAAGCGGGTCTGTAAATCTGGGAGACAAGGTACAAAGTTACACTTGCAACTCTTTACAAAGTACGGTGCTTTTCACTTTTTAAAGATTTAGCAATAGCACCGGAGCCTTGAGTACTCCCAGATTACGGGGAGCAGAGTGTGTTTAGTGAACCTGGAAGACAAGGCTGAATCCCAGCTCAGGTAACATAAAGGCAGGGGAAAGGACAGGTCAGTTCAGCCTGCTGAAGTGAAGTTAGCTGGGCTCCAGAGGAATTCCAAGGTGTAAGGCAGCATCCCCAGACGGTGGTAAGAGTGACAGGATGAGAACCGCATTGAAGCGGCAGGCAGCAGCTCCCTGCAGGGAACAACACCCCCCCCCCCTGCCAGGCAAGCTCCAGATGGGTGAGAAATCCAGTGTAAATGCACAAAGAAAGCAAGAGAGAAAGAGTTGAGGCATGTGTTCCTGCAGGCACGGAGCCAAGAGTGGCTTCCACTGCCACTAATGCTGCCAATGCCCATGAGTGGGGTGCCCTTGATCCCAGTCACAGCAGCTGCTGGTATCTGAGCAGAGGAGGTTTGATAACAGTAATATCAGACATTTAGGTCTGTTACCAGCCTTATACTTTGCTTTAAATGTTTTGAATCTTTGGGGAATTAGGCTGGTCTGTGAAAAAAATGTCCTAAATCCTGCTGGCTGTGCTGAATTAATGAAAGTTAGCGCTCAGCTTCTGCTCTGAGTGTGATGTACTACGGAAATTAAGCCCTTCAAAAATGGTTAATCTGGGAAGATTCCAGGGAGAGAAAGCAGCTGAGCTAATAAGCTAACCTCTAATGGTCAATGTAGTGGCACAGGTGTGGGTGGGTCAAAAAAATCCAGATTAATAAACGCTTTGGGTCAGTCAGATTATCTGAAGTTAGCTGATCAAGGTGAAGGAGACCATCTTCTTACTTGACACTCTTCCACTCTGATCACTCCCTATGTCCTCACATCCAAACTATGAATCACACCTTGATGGTTGGTTTTGCATAACACATCAGCGATAACGGCCTTTCCCTTCTGTCCACCCAGCTAATTTCTTCCATCAACTTATATTTTTGCTTTCTCTCCTCTGATTTTTACAAAGACGACCCGCGACAATGCCATGCAGCAGGCAGCTGGGCCCTGGTCACTAGTGTTGCACTGGTGAAAAACAGAATAAAATGAGCAACTGTGCCGTGAGGTGATAAAAACCAAACAGCCAGCATGTGACAGATACAAAAGAGAGGCCGTATATGAAAAGAGTTGTATTATCAATGATAGTACAATTCACTCCAAGCTGTACAGCAACTAAACCTAACATTTTATGTTGTCACTACAGGATCAGCAAGCTTCAACTGGTCTGTTGGCCATTTTAGCTGTCTACTAGTTTTGATCTGGTAAAGTATCTTCCAATATGTTCAAGTCTTCACTTGTTAAATTGCTTTCACACACAGTCTAAAAAAAAAAAAAAAGATCAGTCCATGAAGACTTTTGTTCTTCAGTCTTTTTGCCCTTTGCTTCACTCTTCTTTGCCAACTGCTAGTTTTTCTTTTGCTTTAAAGGCTCAGCAGAAGCTTCCAATTTCTTTATAAAATGTTTCTTTGTGTTTAGCTCATTGCAAGGAAGTGACATTTCTTTAGGTTTTGTAGTTTATGATGACCTTTCCAAATGCTAAAGCATCTGTGTCTAAACCATGATGGAGTTTTCTATTTCTACAATTTTGTGCTTGTTTTAACTTCCCTACTCTTTACCAAAGACTAAGAGTAATTTTTCATCCTTTGGTTCTGTCATACTGGGTAATATGCATATCCCTGTAAGTCTGCCAGTGATTTTCCACACTGCAGCGGTGTTCTGTAGCTCAACAACATTAAATATAGAACTGTATTGAATTAGTTGTTTCTGTGAGCCTGTGCTACATCTATTAATGTTTTCTCAGAGATGCCCAAGACATTTTCAGAAGTGTCCTGTGCTGAAACCTAAAGGTTTTCACAAGAACCAGAAATTTCCTGTACTCACCACATTGTCTTTGATCAATTACTAATGTAACTGGGATCTTGATGTGCAAATGTTCTTGATCATCAGCACTAAAGTCAATCTATTTCCACAAGTCAACATTTCTGGAAAGTTATTAGGGTAGTTCACATTTTTCAAAGGTAGACAAAATAAGTCCTGTGGAAGTGCAGATCCATATTCATGTATTCTTCCTGAAACGACCGCTGTGATCCCTTCTAGCATCACAATCTGGGCACACGGTCTGCAATCATTATTTGCAAAGCCACCTCTTCAGTTTTCTCCCCCGCACTTTCTATTCTTTCCTCTGGCCCCCAGGTTCCATGGAAAGTCTGACAGAGCTTGAAATAGCATTCATGTCCTCTTGGACCAAGAGGTGACTGGTCTCCAGCGAGCACACTCTTTGCGAAGACTAGTGGCTCCTGTGACTCTGTCTTCATGTTTCTCATCCTATCCTCCCAACCATTACTCTACCCTCAGCCAAGACTACTGCCACAAGACTTTGGTCTTTGGTTCATGTCCCTGCTCTCTGTATACCTCCTCCCTGTGTTGCTGAATGTGTGCAAGCATGCATTGTACTATTAGTTCTATGTGGACAACTCACAAATCAACCTCTCCAATTCAGATCCCATTTTGTTTTGAACAACTCTTACCCCTAGGTCTTTATGAAGAGAAGCCCCAGCTCATCCTCAGCATGGCTATAGCAGGATGATTAATACTGCCGTAATCTCATTCCCCTACTTCCTTTCTTGATCAAGGTGGAGAACTCAATCTCCTCCTAATTCAGACCCCTAGCTCATGTATGGTCTTCTGCTCTGAACTCTCCCTACACCTTCACATCCAAGTTCCAAATCACACCTTGTTGAGTTTTTTCTGTGTATTATATCAAAGATACAGACTTTCCCAGTCATCACCTCAGCCAAACTGTTCCACCTAGGCATTGTCTTGCTTTCTTGTCTCTGCTTCTCAAAAAGGCGGTCTTGCACCTTTCAGGTCCATTCAGAGTGCTTCTGGAAAGATAATTTTTTGTGTGCAATTGCCCTTGCTGTGCCACTTCGAGTTTTGTATCCTCCCAACCTTTCCTGACATGGCTCCCCCCCTCTTCTAGCATTTCTGATTCATCACTAAGACACCAGCTTCTACTACACCCAGTTGGCCTATAATATTAGCCTCCAGCACCTATATGTTAACATTTCAAGTACTTCCATGCTTTTTTTCTGTGCTTCCATATGGCATGAAAGAACTTGCACATCAAAAAGGAATTTGGGAACCATGAAAGAGTATCCGACTATACCAGTAAATTTCCAGCTATGGAAACTAAATATACTCATGACAGCTTCTGTATAGAGACACAAAATGGGCATAAATAGCAGATTGTAAAAGAAAATATGAGATCTACACGTGCATATTGGGACCAGCAGCAGCACTGCCATTCTTTAGCTGAGAAAGTGAAAATAAGTTTTGCAAAGACGCTTGGGTAAAAGGGCCAAGACCTTCATGGCTTCAGGACCTTCAAACCAAATAGTTGCCTGTAGTGTGCACTGGGAGGACCACCCCTGAGTTATTGAGCTTGTTACACATATGGAAGAGATTGCATAACGAGTTAAATATATCATCTGCATGGTGGTCTGGGTTTGCATATGATGGGACTTGATGACTGAGGTTGTCCCTGGAGATAAAACCCAAGCTGATCATTCAGATGGACACAAATCTCACACATTTGAGGTTTTACATCCAAGTAGGATCTGCTTTAAAAGAAAGACAGGATTTATGCCCCATTTGTGCAATCCTAAAAATGGAATTGTTAAGACATCTTTACGATAATGGAGATGAGAAATTTCTAAGTAAATAAATTATAGCTTCCTGTTGCCAGAAGTTTATTACAGAAATGAGTCAAGATAAAGATTTTCAACATTATAAAAAACAAGTAAGAGTGCTATTAGAAACATAATTTAAAAACCTGTCACCCATTGCCACAGGCATACTGAGATGGA